TCGCATGGTACTCCATTTTTCACAATTTAGCGTAAGCAACAAGGCGATGATCAGCTAACAGCTCTGCGCCTCTGTTACCGCAATCCTCAACTTCTGTGCACAAGCTTCCCTATTATCAGTTATTATGACGCACGCTCTGATGCTCGATGAAAGTGTTCATAATAGACAGTCCGCTGCTTGCACAAAACTACATTAACTTCGTATCGTTGTTGTTGAGGGGCTATCAAGATTGTTCTTTCCAGTCATGCCTTTCCAGTTGTTGCTGTGTGCTCTGACATTGCATTGAAATCATCCATTAGAAATGAGGGACTCCGTAGTTGGCACTTCGTACGAATCACCTTCAACTTTCTCCAGAAGCACTCTTTCTCTCTCTCTCTCTCTCTCTCTCTCTCTCTCTCCAAAGCGGGCGCTTTTATCTGTGACGAGGTCAAAGTTTTATCTGTTGTAGCCTCAGTCAGGGGATTGTCAGTGATCCGCTGACAGACATCCGTTCAGTCATTCTGTCAGCCAAGTTAGATTCCACCAGAACACTAACACTGGCCTGAGCTCATTGTCTTGTTGATACCTGAATAAAGTTATTTCCACTCACAGAGGTTCAGAACTATAGAGACGTGGCGTTTCATTGACGAGAGTCCAGTTGTGTCGAGTTGGTACTATAGATCCTCATGAATTAGCTCCTGCTCTTTCCCTCTGAGTGTATTTATGTTCAGCTTTTCAACTGTTAGTTCCCACTGTCGATGTCGTTCCCGTGGAGTTTTATCTGACGTGCTCTAATGGCGTCGCGCTATCTGGTACCTCCGTTAAGAACGAGTAGCGGCTCCGTTGCTAATCGATATCGTCGTCGTTCTTTCATTCTTCAGCAGCCATTGTTGTGCCGTTTCGCCCCCCATCTGTCAGAATGTAATGAACAGGTTGTGATCGTCGACTTTTCGCAGCCTGCCTCAGTGTTGATGAGCTTGCTATTCCTATGTAACCCGTGCCACAACCAAGCCGGCGTAATATTAGATGACGACAATACCATAAGAGGCAAGCGACTAAGTTTTATGGAGTCCTCGCGCTGTCTCCAACCCTTCCCCTTACTCATCCAGACTTGGCACCGGCAACGGTGGAGTTTCATTTTTCAACGTAGAACAACAGTAATGGCAATAGAAGATACCAAACCAGTTAATGACAAGAAGTCAGAGAGGAGGAGTAAAGTTGATCTGTTTTAACGATGTAACCTACAGAAGTAAAACAAGATGTCCAAAAGTAAAGAAAGATTTATGAAATTTAATGAAGTTTTGCGACACCGGCTTCTGTCTGCTTTCTTTCAAAGGCAAAGTCTTATGGAACTGCGCGAATGACCAGACCTGGAAAGGTCGTCTATACATGTCCTTCATAGAGTCAAGAACATTTTACTGTTATTCGCATTTCTGCGTCGTTTAGAAGAACGAATGCCACATTTGCCATCACGAGCATTAATTTGTCAATATTGCAACAGCCAACTACGGTAAGCAGAAAGAGGCCATCGTTCTGACAGGAATTGCATGTTTGAGGTCATCGCTGAATGAATGACGCCCCCTCCCACAAAGGACTGGAAGGGAGTACGACCAGAGCGAATGACCGTATGCGCATTCACGTTCAAGAATGTGAAAGGATGTAACGCCATAGCAAAAGGCCGGTAATGTTATTGAGCCCCTGGGTGGTCGAGGGGATGTCGCCTGCACAGAAGAGTGGAATTGATATTTAAACGAATGAATGGTCAGAAATGCATGCCACTTACAGAAGGATGAACATGTGGATTCCGCCAAAGCCAAGGACCAGCTGTCAGAGAAATTAAACAGACGCATATGAAGCCTCGAGAATGTAGAAATACAGCGGAAAAGCATAAATGGACCAGTCTTGTTGTTCAGAGGATATTGTGGAATCGAAGACCATGTCCGTGATGTTGCACTTGGCTACAGGCGCCATATATTGATATTGGATAGAGTTCTCTTCGATTCACAACATGTTTTCTCTCGTAGTTCTGGTCCGGTTGCGGTACGAGCTAGAATAAGAAGAATAAATTAAATTATGATGTTACCTTTATGCTGTAAACACGTGACCTCTCGACATGACCTAATGTTTTTCAGTTTTTCGCGTCATTGGCTCACTCTGAATGTTTGTCATTCATTCGTTCAGTCAATTTGCTGTCCTTAAGCCATGGAAGATAATCATGACGACTGACGGAGCGAAATCACTTTCGGTGACAAACCGATGTTCCGTTGACAACAGATTTTTGCTGATCTTGATCTGCTGTCGCTGCTCTAGCAGTTTGTTCAGTTTCGTGTAGCAGTGGCCGTCATTGGTCATTATTGCGTTTATATTCTAGAAGCAACGAAGTTTCAGCACTCTGATTCTATGACAGGAGAGCTAACTGATTTCAAATGACGTATTCATGAGACACGAGGGGAGGAAATGTCTGTTTCTTTCTGTATACTCTAATTGTGTCCGGAATGGCACTCTTTCGGTCACTGTTCAGTGGTCATAGATCGTCGATGAGTATAGATCATAATTATTATCATCTGACAGTAATAATTGGCTGATCCTTCTTTATTTTTAATGGGATCACCATTGCTAAGTGTCGATTTCTCTGTTAGTCTGTCTCCTGTGTTTTGTCGCCACAAGCTTCCATGTCTCTTTTAGCTAATCGTTCCCGTCTGATTCGAGGTTTTCCAATTGGTTGACTTTTAATCCCAATCCGTCACTGCTGGGGTCCACTGGTCATTCGTCAGTATTGCGATATAGTTCGCTGTTGTCCGAATTGGAGCTGCGCGCAGTGGACTGGGACCATTTTTGTTGGTTTTCTATCGACCTTTGCAAATAGTTTTGCCTAATGCTCACGCTTTCCAGTGTCTTTGACCGAACGACCGTTTGTCTGTCAGCCCGGCCGAAAAGGGTTCCAGGTAACGGCTTGGCCCACTGGGAATGTTCCGCAGCGTGCGCATGCACAGCTTCCTTACCTTCGGCGATTTCCCTTTTGCACCACACAGTGGTTGTTCAAACAACTGAGAACACAATAAGAGTGAAACGAAACTTTGTTACGCTGAGCATTCTCTCAAAGGACGGTTTAATAGCCTGAAAATGCGTGTTGTAGATGGTATAAATAACCTGCAAAAGGACTCCGTCTTCGCAGAAATGCTGATATTCT